TCGCAAGCGTCGCTGTCGATGGATCTGTTGCAAAACAGGGACGACAACTGATCTTCTGAGTCGGATTCCAGGCTCGCGAAGATGGTTCCTGACAGTCTGGTCCGATATCCTCCTCAAACCAGTGATGCGTCCTGCAGTGGCATAGTGATGACGTTAGGTGGAAGGTAGCGATCCTGTGCAGGGGTGGTAACTCTTGGTCGGCCTGTTCTCGGGCGGTCCGCAGTGGAATTGAACTGTGTGTATCAAAGCAAATGGTGCTGTGGTGGAGTTTGAAGTGGCGTGCAACAGAAGATTGCGATCCCCTCTTTGGATACGTTCTATGGCGATGTTCCGATCGGCAGCGCTTAGTCTCGGCATTTTCGAACTTGAAAACTGTTGACAATTGAATGACAAATTATTGGCTTATGCTTGCCCGAGTTACGAATACCGTAACTTTCACGTTGATTTTGCTTAACTGTATTCCTCCATGTCATTTTTGAACAAGCGTGAAAACAATGCCGTTTAAGACATTGCAAATCGACAATGGCTGCGTTTAGACTTACCGCTTGTCGAATATCAGGCCACCAACATTTTCCAATAACATATATCCAATTTATATACCGGATGTTTTGTGAAGTCAGGTTCAGTGAACTACATATCACCTGTGTGTTTCGTATTTTGAAGAGTGTATGTTATTTTCATGGAGAAAAGAGGGTCAGCGGTGGGGTAGCCTTGTGGTAAAAGTGTTCGCTCGGCATGTCAAAGACATGGGTTCGATTCCCGACATGGGTGCAATGTGTGAAGCCCATTTCTGGAGTACCCCGCTGTGATATTGCGGGAGTTTTGCTAAAAGTTGCGTAAAACCATACTCATGAAAACACGAAAAAGAATCATTGTGGTGATAAGAATAAATAACTTATAAGATACGGACATGTATGAGAAGACGGTAATTTGAAATTATACTTATTCATGAAAGGTGTTAAATCTCTCTGATGTCGGTCGATGGCGCCAATGTACGTCCTCCTGTTCATGTCAAGATAATGCTCTCTTTTAACGCTAGTTCCTTGTAATGATGATTTGGTTGCGGTTGTCATGGAGTCACCACCGGCAAACAAGCACTAGATTGGATGTTCATTTCAGAGCTGGCGATATTATCTGGTGGGTAGTTTGCTACTTGATGACTCTGAATAGTGGGCCAAGATACTTTAGAATCTACCATGTTGAAAACATCAAACGCTTCGAAAATATTACTCTTTGTTAAGACAGGTCACAAAAACAGACGTTGTAGCATCTATTTCAATTAGCGCACGAATCTTAAAAGAGCATGACACCTTACATGACGACACCATGGCTTTTCAAACCAGCCGACATTCCGCTAATGCGTGGACGTGAGAGACAGACACACAGCGTGATCATGATGCCCTCAAATTGAGACGAGATGCACAAGAATGACGCTGCTACTCCCGAGTCACACGACACAAACGTGATGCACGGGACAAACCGGGTTTGACTATCACGTGAAGGCCACGGTCCATCATCTTTAGCCATTGCACCTTATACACCCATCTCTGTCAGAGGATTAGCATGACGTCAATCGTATATCGGAGTTGATAGCAGCTCTAATCGATGAGGGGCGGTGGGGTAGCCTTGTGGTTACGCCTAGGCTCTTCACGCCGAAGGCCCGGATTTGATTCCTCAATGTTGTAATCGTTTCTGTTGAGATTCAGTAGAAGCTCATAGCATTGTGTCTTAGGAATGGTTTTACTATCTTATGGGGTCAGTGGTGTGGACGTTACTATATTCAGATGCTTGTGGAGTCAAGTGTAATCTGGAATCTTCTACAACAGCTAGAGTAACCCGGCACTATACAGAACCTGCATCAAGGGATTTATATAAGGGGGCAAGGGCGTGCCTCTTTCATCTCACATCACATCAAGGCCAACGAATGTGTGAAGATCATTGTTAGTGCGCTGGTTACCCACCCTAGGCCTATTTTGGAAGCTTGACTATTGCTCTAGGTGAATGTTATTACAACTGCTATCCTATTGTATACTGCACATTGGAGTTTGTGCTACCACTCTATTGCAATTGTTTTGCAGTAATTTGTATTGATTTGTAAATCTAGTCTGTTTTAATATACACCTGTTAATTGTATACCATATGCTGTTCGTTGGTTTCACACTGAATTCTCTTACGTAAAGATTTCTGGGTTAACTTATTGTTTCAATTTGGAAGTCGACATGTAACACTTGTGTCTAAACTTGTTCGTTGTATGTAAGCTTGTTCAATGAGTTGCATGAGCTCATATATAGCCGGTACTCTGGTTGACTCTGATGCATAATACTCTACTTACTCCAGTCAAATTGTCATGCCATGGCAGATTGACAAAGGAAATATGAAAAAAATCGTGTGTTCTTTGACTTCGTTTCAGAAGTACATTGCGAAATGTGCAAAAGGCGGACCGTTAAACTGGTCTGGCAGTGTGTGGAAATTTCCAGATGCTATTTAGACTGCATATAAGGGAACAAGAGCATGCCTCTTATTTCTATCACACTTCATATTTCACGTTTCATTACATCAAGACCTGCTTTCCTGTGATCACTTATTACCCCGGATTCCTAGCTTAGACCCATCTCGGAAGCTTGACCGCTGTCGCCGCAGGGGGAATATACTATTATGACTGACTTTTGCTTTCACCACTGTATTTTTGCATTTGATCATATCATTTTGTATACTGCCATTGAATATTATACCATCACTATATTGTGTAAGTTAAGACTAGAATCAAACTAGAAACAGGAAGATAAGGGAAATGGCACACGAGCTGTTCAGCTACCACCCGTGATTCTGTCGCTCTGGGGCAGAGGGGTAGCCAAGTGGTTAAAACGTTCGATCGTCACACCGACGACCTGGGTTCGATTCCTCACAAAGGTAAAAAGCCATTTTCTGTGGTCTCTCATCGTGGTATTGCTGGAATATTGATAAGAGCGGCTTAAAACCATACTCACTCACTCCTCCGCTATGATAATAAAACATATGCTGTAAATCTCGAAATTAACGCGAGCGTAAACTAAATATGAAAAACGCGAGTGACCTTTGCTCGCATTAATTACCCGCATTTATGTCTAAAAAATGACTATCAATAATAAGACGGCCTCACTGCACACTTTGGATAGTGGAAATACCAACTTGAATACTAACACAAACACGGTTTATTGAGCAGCAGGTGTAACATTTTGGGCTAGGGGTCAGCAGTCGTATTAATGTGGAGAAGCATTAATTTCCAGTTGTACGGTATATACATTGTGTGTGTGTGTGTATATATATATATATATATATTTGTGTTCACTTTCGCGTAATAGTTCACGCTTAGATTCGTGTGTATCATGTCGAACTATGAGAGGCGATAGAAGCACGATCTTCGTTATTGCACCTTGACCCCTAGTAAAGGAGGGGAGTTCAATGGTGTTCCTATTAACAATCTAACAAATACTGGATTGTCTTTGATATTGAAATCAATAGCTCTAATTCCTAAATAATTGTTATCCTTATTAGATATCACGTCAGAACAACGGCCTGCAACGGCCCCTTCTGGCCAAGGCAGACTGCAATTGATGATATACAATGTACGACATCCCCAGCTGTGTTACAATTATCCGTGTTTATTGCTATGTGATCGGGTTATTTCTTTTGACTGTATGCCATCTTATACACATCACACACCTTGTCATCTCAGACTTACCGGGAAAAGTTTGCTATCTAGTTATTGCCGAGTAGAACAGATGTGATTCACAGATGTCACAGATACCACGATATTCTGTTCTCTAAGAGGTAGGGTACCTTGGTGGTAAAAGTTCACTCACTCACTCATTTATATAATTAAATTCCCGTTGTGTCGATTGTAATTCCTGTATTCTCATCGCTGAATTGGTCACGTGTTATTGCATCCATTTCTTAATGAATGTAAAAAAATAAGCCACATCCACCCCATATTACAGTCAAGGGAATTCCTTTTCTGCTCACCACCCGTGAAAATCCGGGGTAGAATAGGTTATCAGCAACCCATACTTGCCGTAAAAGGCGACTATGCTTGTCGAAAGAGGCGACTAACGGGATCGGGTGGTCTGACTTGATTGATGCATGCCATCGATCCTAATTGCATGGATCGATGCTCATGAAATCAATCACTGGATTGCCTGGTCCAGACTCGATTATGTACAGACCGCCGTCATATAGGTGGAATATTGGTGAGTGCGGCGTTAAACAACCAACCAAGCAACCTTTCTGCTCACGTGTATCGTCACGCACAGGACATTTAGCAAAATTCATGCATATTTATTGTCCAAACTACCCTTTGAGACCGAAGGCCGAGAAGGAATGCAACAGCAAACGTTCAGGCTCGCTCGCCTGATTTTTGTCCGCTCGCCTGGGTTCCACAAATTTCATGTCTTCGAGTTTCTTTTCTAACCTGCATTGTTCCAACTGTGTGTGTCCATTCTCTTGGGACTAATGTTTAAAAATGGCGGTAACTGACCAAGTCAGTTGAAACTACCGCTTTCTCCCGGACATATTTGTCTCGGTATTTTACAGTCTGACTGTTGTGGTTCGTCTCGCCTCTTGCCATGATTGACAGGTCCCATGAACTTTTGATCCTACTCTCCGTTGATTGACTACTGACTTTATGGATGTGTCAAGTTATGTGCATAATTGAACAATCACCCGATTCATGTCACGCCACAGTATGTATAACTACACCTCGAATGTTTATAAATCTCGTCATTTTTGTCTGCTTTGATATATGAAACTATAGTTGGTTAAACTATTGAAGATAACAGATGGTTTCGTTGTCGAATTTAATTAAAAGGATTGAAAAAGGTATGAATGGAGACACCGATGTGCAAACGTTTGTAAGAAACCAATACGCGGATTTATACAGATTGCACATCGATTCATTCCTCAATGAATCGAAAAATATCCACAGTCAATCCTTAAGTCTTATAATCACAAACCATGAATTTAAAATAGAATTTGTTTTATTTCCAAGCGCAAATACAACAATGTGTACTGAATATGAATTGGAGAGAGAGATCTAGAGAAACAACAGCAGAACAAAGCTGATTCTGAAACAGGAAATTAAAACACCGCGAACATGTTGTTAATATAGATCCGCAAGAAATATTGTGGCATTGTCACACACTTCAATGCGGATATGTAACGCTTCATGCCTTGAGGATTACACGGTCAAATTATAGTGTGTGGTGAAAATTGTTTTGTCTGTTTGTGTGTGTGTGTGTGTGTGTGTGTGTGTGTGTGTGTGTGTGTGTGTGTGTGTGGTCCGTACATATCTACATATATAATCCATGCATATCTACAAATATAATCCGCAAATGCCTGTGTATATAATCCGCACCTTTCTACGTATATAATCCGAACGTGTCTACACATATAATCGGAACATATCTACACATATAATCGGAACATATCTACACATATAATCCAAACATATCTACGTATATAATCCGAACATATCTACACATATAATCCGAACATATCTACGTATATAATCCGAACATATCTACACATATAATCCGCACATATCTATGTATATAATCCGCTCATATCTACACATATAATCCGCTCATATCTACACATATAATCCGCTCATATCTACACATATAAGCCGCTCATATATACACATATAATCCGCTCATATCTACACATATAATCCGCACATATCTACGTATATAATCCGCACATATCTACGTATATAAGGGGTTTAAAGACATGGCTATCTGTACCCGGAGCTGTGTTTGTTTGTTTGTGTGTTGTTTAATGCAGCAATATTCCAGCTATGTGACGGCGGTATGTAAATTATCGAGTCCGGACCAAACAATCCAGTGATGGACATCACAAGCATCGATCCACGCAATTGGGATACGATGACATGCATCAATCAAGTCAGCGAGCCTGACCACCGATCCCGTTAGTCGCCTCTTACGACAAGCATAGTCACCTTGCCTTATGTTACTTATTCAGTGATTCAACTAGGGTTCTCCAGAAGACATCTGTATCTCCTTCATTGGGATATTCGATGTAGGAGTCAGTCTGCATATGATACAGGATTTCAGCAGGAATGTCTCTTGTTGGTATCTGTTCATACATGATGATCATCAACACATCCCGACCAGTGGTAACACTCTCCATGTTGGCCATTTGAAATTCATAGGTACACCAATAGCTCTGCAGAGATCCACGAGATAACACGAACAATGTTCTCTTGCTCCTTTTCACGGCTTCCATGATATTGGCGGCAATCGGACGACCTGGCCTGAAGTTTCTTTGGTGTATGTTCAGTCTTAAGCCTGCCTCTACTTCCAACTTCATTATGAGATCATTTACCACAAAGTCGCGATCGTCGTCATCGAAGGACACAAAAACATCGAATTCAAATAATGGATCGTTTACTGATTCAGTTGTGTTGCTGTACCGCAGCCTTGCAGCATAATACCAATACCGTAGTTTCCAGCGGTACCGATACCCAATGCTACAGACTATCAAAGACGCAGTTAGTACAAACAACGATACGACACCAAGATAAATACCAAAATAGTTATGACAAGATTTTTCTAATTCTGTGTAGACTGACTCCAAATCGTCCAGCGGACGTAAAGTTCCACTACTGTAGAGGCAATAGTAGTTGCTTAGGTTACCAAAGTTGATTTGGGGTGTCAACATCCATTTGAGAAAGTCTGAATTGTAGCATGTACAGGCTATGGGGTTCTGGGACAAATCAACCTCTAATTTGTTTGTCTTGCGTTTCGAAGCCAGTTTACTCAGTGATTGTCTGACATGCAACGGAAGCCACCGTATTTGATTAGAGCGGAGAATAAGACTCTCAAGGTTGGTCATTTGTACGAGTTCTACATCTAAATTCGGATGTATGAAATTGCCTTCTAAGTTTAGCACTCTGATGGAATGGAGACTTTTAAATACATTCTTCATGAGATTAGGGATAAAATTTGATCGCAGGTCCAGTACTTGGAGTCTGTTTTGGTTCAGAAAAACAGTGCCATTACTGTCGTTGTACAGCACATTACCCATGAAGTTATAAGATACATTGAGAGTTAGAAGATTCGGGAATGTATGAAAAAAGTCTGGAGATATTACTTTAGCTACATTATTATTAAGATTCAAGAATGTGATATTCTCTAGCCCAGTAACAGGACCAGACCAAGTTGATAAGATGTTGGAAGACATATCTACATGTTCCAACGTGTTAGTGGAAAATGCGAGCTTACCAATGTGGAAGGGTAGCTGGGAATAGGCATAAATGAGTTTCTTTAGTTTTGGAGGAACGGGAATAGGAATGGTTATCTTCCCGTCACCCCTGGCAATTAGGTGCAGAGGAAATATATTGGCATAGTTAGTGGCATAGTTGGTTGACGAGATGACTCGACTTGTGTCACAATCACTATCAGATTCACAGTCTTGCATCTCATTTGTGAACCATTCGAGACCATCGAGAGATGGTAGTTCGTGAGCATGGGGCAACCCACTCAAGTCAACGTATTCTAGACCTGTTAAACTGGTAATATATGCTAAATACTTGCCAAAGGTAAATTTGTTTTCCTTCAGTGATACTTTCCTAAGTGATTTCGGGAAATACACCAAAGCTTCGTTCCCAAAGAGTTCAATGGAGTTCTGGTCAGCATGAAATTCCTCCAGAAACGTATCTTGTAGATTTTGTATGAATTCAGTTTTTATGATTACACACACTGCATGTTCCGCAACGACGCGATTCATGAAGAGTTTCCGTAATGGTAAATTCTGTACACCCAAAGTGATGTTACCAATACCGGTTAGTCCGATGTCTCTGTTGTTAGATATATCGAGGACTGAGAGACTTGTCAAAGGTGCAAATATATCTGGGTTAATGTTTTTGATAGCGTTCTCTGACAGATTTAATTGTACCAAATGTCCAAGACCAAGGAATGCATTGAAAGAGATGTGTTCCAATTTGTTCATGAAAATGTCGAGTACCTGCAAAATTCCAAAGCGACTGAACATCCCATCTGTAAGATGTGTTAAATCATTACTTCGGAGAATGAGTTGGGTAATGTTATCAGGAATATTCCCAGGAATGGATTCCAAGAACACGTTCGCACACGTAGCGACAATCGTATCACTGACATTCTGGCATATACACGGATTGCACTGCAATGCGTCTTGTCCAATGTTTTTCATCCCGTTAGTGGTTAATGCCGTCCACATCATCAGAAGGGGAAGTACTGACAACGGGTCCATTTTAATCCTGAAAATAAACAGGTATTCAAACAGGTAATACATAAAATATGAATAGTTGGTATAACACTGAATAACCTTTGAATGATTTTAATGGTTATAAAATGTGTTTCCCTTATCATATAGTTTTCGCTGTTCAATAAATAGCCCATGTTGTCCAGCTGCTGTCATAATGGTGTAATTTTTTATCTTGGTTAGCTATTGCGACGGACGTGTGATTATGCTCGTGCCATGTGGATTTGTTTACAGTGCATATAGTATGGAGGACTGTCCGTATTGGGAACAATTCCATCAATGAGTTGCAGGTATGATCATCATTGATAGACACCAGGACAATTGACCGAGAACGTGGCGGCATGACGACGGATGTAAATTTCTATTTGGTCTCCTTAGCGACGATAGTTTTAGAAATTGTGATGGGGTCTTCTTCTAAAGATCTGATTGTATGATGGAAATCAGTCTGTGGTTTGTATATGAAACCGTATTGTATTATCTAAAATGTAATTAGAAGTTCTGAACGATCCGTATTATCTTACATTCTTGCCTTGAACGCATGATTACTCTCAAACCAGGTAATCACACTTGATGAAATCGAGACAAATCCACCCTTTTGTTTTACTATTCATCCCTGGAACAATATAACAAACAATGAGAGCATAATTATTTCCCCGTTTTCGTATAACGTTATAAGGAAATGTTTTCAACAAAACCAATAAACTCGCTGTCGTCTCACTGTAGTGTCTGGACCACTATCACTGCGATGCTAGGCCAGAATTGTATTGTTTATATGCTGCCGGTGTACGGCAAGTGTACTGCTGTGCAGTTTCAGGGAAGAAAATGTATTTTTTTATGCCATTTCCGTGAGTGAGGGGTGCACCGGCAAGAGCAGAACACGCTTACTCTATTCGCGAACGGCTTGTATCTTTACTGATGTTCAGTGATCCGTTCACATTAATTCCCAATGGAATCTCTTTCGGCAGATAATCGAGATTGATTATTCCCTGTCTTTCACGTTTTATGTTAACGAGACACTGACGGTTGGATTTAACAAACATTGTGAGTGAGTGCGTATGGTTTTACCCCACCTTTAGCAATCTTCCAGCCATATCACGACGGGGGGACGTCGACACCAGATATGGCCTCACACATTGTTATGGTGTTGTATTGTGTTGTAGTGCTGTGTTGTGGTGTATGTGTGTAGTATTGTGTTGCGGTGTACTGTTGTGTTGCCGTGTGGTACTGCGTTGTGGTATAGTTCTGCGTTGTCATATTGTGGTGTGGTACTGTATGGTGGTGTAGGGCTGTGTTGTGGTGTAGTACTGTGTTGTGGCATAGCACTGTGTTTTGGCGTAGTACTGTGTTGTGTGGTAGTATTGTGTTGTGGTGTAGTACTGTGTTGTGGTTTAGTACTGTGTTATGGCGCAGTACCGTGTTTTCGTTTAATATTGTGTTGTGGGGAAGTAATGTGCTGTGGTGTTGTGCTATGTTGTGGTGTTCTGTAGTACAGTGTTGTGGTGTTGTGATGTAGTACTGTGTTATGGCCTAGTGCTGTATTGTGATGTAGTACTGTGTTGTGGTGTTCTGTAGTACAGTGTTGTGGTGTAGTACTGTGTTATGGCGTAGTGTTGTGTTGTGATGTAGTAATGTAATGTGGTGTGGCGTAGTGCTGTGTTGTCGTGTAGTACTGTGTTATGGCGTAGTGCTGTGTTTTGATGTAGTACTGTGTTATGGCATAGTGCTGTGTTGTGATGTAGTTCTGTGTTGGTGTAGTGCTGTGTTGTGTAGTACTGTGTTGTCGTGTAGTGCTGTGTTGTCGTGTAGTACTGTGTTATGGCGTAGTGCTGTGTTGTCGTGTAGTGCTGTGTTGTGGCGTAGTGCTGTGTTGTGGCGTGTTAGGATGTAGTGCTGTGTTATGGCGTAGTGCTGTGTTGTGGCGTAGTGCTGTGTTGTCGTGTAGTGCTTTGTTGTGGCGTAGTGCTGTGTTGTCATGTAGTGCTGTGTTGTGGCGTGTTATGATGTAGTTCTGTGTTGTGTAGTACTGTGTTGTCGTGTAGTGCTGTGTTGTCGTGTAGTACTGTGTTATGGCGTAGTGCTGTGTTGTCGCGTAGTGCTGTGTTGTCGTGTAGTGCTGTGTTATGGTGTAGTGCTGTGTTGTCGTGTAGTACTGTGTTATGGTGTAGTGCTGTGTTGTCGTGTAGTACTGTGTTATGCCGTAGTGCTGTGTTGTGGCGTAGTGCTGTGTTGTCGTGTAGTGCTGTGTTATGGTGTAGTGCTGTGTTGTCGTGTAGTACTGTGTTATGATGTAGTGATTTGTTGTCGTGTAAAACTGTGTTATGATGTAGTGCTTTGTTATGGCGTAGTGCTCTGTTGTGGCGTAGTGCTGTGTTGTCGTGTAGTGCTGTGTTATTGTGTAGTGCTGTGTTGTCGTGTAGTACTGTGTTATGGCGTAGTGCTGTGTTGTCGTGTAGTACTTTGTTATGGTGTAGTGCTGTGTTGTGGCGTGTTATGGTGTAGTGCTGTGTTATGGGGTAGTGCTGTGTTTCGGCGTAGTGCTGTGTTATCGTGTAGTGCTGTGTTATGATGTGGTGCTGCGTTATGGCGTAGTGCTGTGTTTTGGCGTAGTGCTGTGTTGTCGTGTAGTACTGTGTTATGGTGTAGTGCTGTGTTGTCGTGTAGTACTGTGTTATGGCGTAGTACTGTGTTGTCTTGTAGTACTGTGTATTATGATGTAGTACTGTGTTGTCGTGTAGTGCTGTGTTGTGGCGTAGTGCTGTGTTATGGTGTAGTGCTGTGTTGTCATGTAGTACTTTGTTATGGCGTAGTGCTGTGTTGTCGTGTAGTGCTGTGTTGTGGCTTAGTGCTGTGTTGTGACGTAGTGCTGTGTTGTCGTGTAGTGCTGTGTTATGGTGTAGTGCTGTGTTGTCGTGTAGTACTGTGTTATGATGTAGTGCTGTGTTATGGCGTAGTGCTGTGTTGTGGCGGAGTGCTGTGTTATGGTGTAGTGCTGTGTTGTCGTGTAGTGCTGTGTTGTGGCGTAGTGCTGTGTTATGGTGTAGTACTGTGTTATGATGTAGTGCTGTGTTATGGCGTAGTGCTGTGTTGTGGCGTAGTGCTGTGTTGTCGTGTAGTACTGTGTTATTGTATAGTGCTGTGTTGTCGTGTAGTACTGTGTTATGGTGTAGTGCTGTGTTGTCGTGCAGTACTTTGTTATAGTGTAGTGCTGTGTTGTCGTGTAGTACTGTGTTGTGGTGTAGTGCTGTGTTGTCGTGTAGTACTGTGTTGTGGTGTAGTGCTGTGTTGTCGTGTAGTACTGTGTTATGGCGTAGTACTGTGATGTCGTGTAGTACTGTGTTATGGTGTAGTGCTGTGTTGTCGTGTAGTACTGTGTTATGGTGTAGTGCTGTGTTGTGGCGTAGTACTGAATTGTGGAGTAGCAGTGGTGTAATGTAATATAAGGTTGTCCTGTGTTTTATTGCTGAGTTGTTCTGTAGTGTCGTGTGTGAGTTTGAGAAAAGTGTAGGTATATGTTGTATTGCATACTGTCCAGTTGTGTATTTCTGCGTTATGTATTGGTAAAGTGCGTAAATGTGGTGCTGGGTTGTCTTGTTGTGTAGTGTAATGTAGTGTAGTGTTGTCTTGTGTTCTAGGGTTGTGCTGTGATTTAGTGCAGTGTCTTTGAAGTACTGTGTTGTGGTGTCGGTAGTACGAGTTACAACGCGTTTCTACACTAGACCACAACAAAACGCTATAACGACAACAGTACTACACTACAGCACAGTACTACAGTACTATGTGTGAGATATATGTTGTAGTGCTGGTGTTGCGCCTCGTATGTGACAGTCAAAAGTCAAAATAAAGACTTTCATCGGAAATAATCTTTGTCACTGATACGTCAAATTTAGAAATATCCTAACTGTCTACTATAAAACCATCTACATTAATAGAGAACCGAGATCATGATGATAAAATAACATTAAAAAAACTTACAATTGAAGTTGCACGTACATAAATCCTACCGTCTGGGCAATCGTCGGGTCGACCACTAACTAATTACAATGTGTACTCACTCGACAGAGCAGGAAATAAATACAGCGCAATGTTCTTCCCGCTCCATCATGCGGACAATTATAGTCCCACTTCAACTAAACAATGGCTCAGGAAAATATGAGATCAAAGATAATCTTGTGTTTGTGAAAACTATCAAACACTATTGATACCAGGTGTTCACGAAAAGGAAGCAATGCTGACAACATTTTCCGTTGTAGTAATATTATTTCCGTGTCACTTGATCAGCGCTCCAGCTGCCATATATTGAAATATTACGACACGTTTGAGAGGGATGAAACCGAAATTACAATTACGTCTTCAAGAGTATTGTGTGATGAAAAAGTTATAATTATGGTATTGAAAGCAGGAAACAGATTTGAATCAATGAAAAATTGACAGGACATTACACATGAACGGTGTGCTAACAGATCTACGGAGAGAGTCACAGTGATTCATTAATCCAAAATTCTCAATAGTTCATGGGAAAGCAGCAATGGACATTTGCCTTTAATTCCATCTCAGTTCCTGAGTTTTGTTCATGAAATTTGCTCTAAATGAAATACATTGTTCAAAACTGTGTAGTTTTTATATGACCGAGAACGAAAGTCGTGGATCCAAATATCTAAGTGTTAGTATAAAGTTTGCATTAAGGGTCCAGTGAGTCTTGACACTGTTAAGATGGGGTATTCTGCCTTCTTTGGCCCGGAGAGGGGAAGGTCGGTTGTTCGCTTCCCAATCTATTCATGCCAGAAGACTATAAAAGATGATACTGGTTGTTACCCTGTCTGGAGTCAGTATACTGTGTCTGAGTGTGGTGCCCATTTTAATCTTCGGCATGGTATCTCAGCGAACTGGACTTGTCCGGACTATTACAAGCAGCAACACACATGCACGCACGTACGCGCGTCGTTAATTTCACCTTGTGATTATACCTATACGACTACATATACATGTAGTAAATATGCTTGACGCTGAAACATGTATCACTATTTCAGTCTAAATATGACCGGAATAGCTCCACATCTGCAAGATATGTGACGCAACCACGCCGGATGAAACCGGACCCTCTTACGACAATGCGATTGTCCCGCAAAGGTTTTATTCAGCTGACGACTGAATGCTCATTAAAAACTTATTGGAATATTAAAATTTTGTAAAACTTTGAAAACTAACGCAAAATAAACTTTACGACAAACTACACAATAGCATCACCCCGAATTATCTGAGTGGTAAATAAATATGAAACGCCAACGCCAGACTAGACTCGATTATCTAGCGTTTACAGTGAGCGTAAAAGGCAAACTTGTGGTGATTATACCTATCTGCAGATAAAATTACAAAATGCAGCAAAAGAGGCCTGGTTAGATTTGAGTCTGTATACGGCCTATTCCAAAGAATTTTGTATTTATCATTTTCCATGACGCCTTCTACATATTCCGGGTCGTACCATGGATGGAACTCTGTGTCAAAACCACAAACATGGCGAAGGCAGTAATAAAATGATCGAACCTCTCCCTCATGTCGCTTTAGATCCTGTGTTTGTGCCAACGCTGGGCATACACTGACAATGTGTTGGACAGTATCATTGAATTCATTGCATAATCTACATTTCATTTTTGACATTTTGATGCTAAATCACACATCGACGCTTTCGAATGGGAAGTGACTGGTCCTGAGCAGCAAAACAGAAAGCCTTCAGTCTCAATTTTTAGGCCAGCCGACCAGACGATGCTGATTTCCTCAACGCTCTGCACACAAACCCGATGCAGTGGTCATTCAGATAGCGTCTCCTTGAAATTGATTTGATATGGCACTTCGCTTGGTTGACACCAATTTCTGTACCGTCCAGCAGTACGGAACCATCAACAAAATCAACACGGACCTTGAGACTATGTCTCACATCCTTGGCTCGTTTAATAAAATTGTGGAATGTCTTGTTTTCATCATGAGCCTTGAAATGCTTCACAAGAGGATCATCAGACTAAAAAATGTGTGCCAAAGTGCACAAAACGATTCTATCATGAAGAGCCTCCACATTGATCAAACCACGCCCTCCCATCATAATTGGTAAATATAAGCGATTGAGGGAAGAGCGTGGTGGGATCTATTGTCTGACATGATTCTTCGTGTGAGGGTGTCAATACCCTGAATTTCTTGTTTCGTCCAATCAACAACACGAAAAGAATACGAAAAGAACATAAGTATTTGTGGATTATTATTATTATTATTATTATTATTATAAACGCGAAACAGTATCAACATGGATCTAGTTTTCATTCTCCTTCTGTGAAACTACACTGTATTACTATTTTGTGTTTTATTTGAAATAATACTCATGATTAAAGTATGAACCACAATGATAAGTATGAAGTACATCGAACAGATGAAGATAATGTGGTTTACGTTGCAGTCGGTAATACAACAGCTATGTGTCTATATAGCGGCGAGTGTGATCAACAGAGTCTTCGTCGAAGCTTGTGCTACATGATATAATCAACGGTCACGCAGTCGTTGTATTAACCAAGAGAATCAGCCAGATCACACAGTCTTATTTGCATGTTCATGCCAGGGTCCGCTGGTCCCTGGTTTGAATCTCATGTTTGCCCTGATTATGATCCTTGTATTACCAGCACACTACCTGTGTTCAGCACCCTTTACACGAAAATGCAAAACTTTGAACCTAATACTTGTAGCCTTTTCAGACTTTATTATTTCATCTTCAGACATATCAGACATGCTTGTTGCTTTATCAACCATTGTGAAGAAGCAATCATCAAACTACACCTGAAATCTATCCTATCTATATGACAGGTACTTTGACTCTAAGACCTAGCAATACCAGTCACTATTACCACCTAACAAGCCCATTTTCAGATCTACCACGCTCTGCTACCGATGGTTCGCTGTAGAAACTCAACTCAATTAACTAAACACGAACTTACCTAGCAATCAGCTAAACGTGAAATCCCCTTGATTGTCATGAACAATGAAAATGTAATAACATAAAATGAAATAAATCTGAAACTTAGAATGAAGTTGGTGTTTAATTAGCGTATGTAAACAGTGTAAATGGATAACTCTCTCAAATATATTTTTTTTTTCTATTCTTTTCTGCACTATCCTAGTTTACTATTCTGTAACTTAGAGAAAGATATCTATTTCCTTCTTGCACATGACTATGAACATCAGACTCAACAGACATTCACTGTGTCCAGATCATGCGCATTTTACGCTCACCCAGCAAGAATCACGTTCTGCATGCAACCTTTAAAGCTTCCCGCGAAGCTGCTGTGCACCTATGAATCAACCATTGTGTCCAGGAACATGACTCATGAATAGGTCCTCAGAACATATGCTTGCCCTAAAAGGCGGCCATGCTTGTCGTAGGAGGCGACTAACGTGATCGGGTGGTCAGGCGCGCTGATTTGGTTGATGCATGTCATCGTATCCCAATTGCGTGGATCGATGCTCATGTCAATCACTGGATTGTCTGGTCCGGACTCGATTATTTACAGACCGCCGTCATATAGCTGGACTGTGCGGAGTGGGGCGTTAAACAACAAACAAACACAAAGTTAGTTGTAAGTTAACTATGTGTACCAAACCTCCTTCTGACAGCTCTCAGAAGATACCTGTATTCAAAAGGATTTGTTGCGAAGGAACCGGTAGTGAAAACCTGGTTGTTGGTATTGCTTGGCCACTTATCAATATTTAAGCCCTGAGTTGCTTCTGAGCATATCTTTATGCTTATAACCATCTGTCCTATCAGGAGGTATGATCAGATAATCGTGATCAAGGTCAATGGCAAATAAATGCTTAATAGGCCAAACATCAATATAAATCGAGGCTTCCAGGCAAGAAATGTGTCATGAGGGATTCAATTACCCATTACTACTAAGAGTATAATGAGCGTATCTTGAGGCTTAGTGAAGTACAGCTCCTTGAACATAGTTAAGTGCCGTGTTTCCAATTCCTTAATGCCCCTCTTTGTAACGGGAGTGGGATCTCTCACCAAGGATACCGCTTTATTACTCCTCAGATCCAAGCTAATATTTGCAGTGGTTACAATATGGTATCGGGAATGTGTGTGAGGTGTAAGGTAAGGGGCTAATTTGTACTACTACATGGCGATCTTGAGTTATACATCCTTTGGACCAGAGATATTTTAAAAAGTTAATGCTCAATATCTTATCATTAACACACTTACATGTACTGCTGGGCAGAGGGCCTTCAAGTTGTGTCTTCAAGTTGTGTTGAATCAGTTCCAGTAAGTAGGTTATTAATTTTTAAGGGGATTCTTTAATTTGGTTTTCTTTGGAGAACACACGCGATGCAAACATATACATACATATATACATATATATATATATGGGAACTGATGAAATGATAGTGAAGGTTTAATGATTATTCATGTCGATAAATTGGGCGATACATGCACGACACATTTGATGACATAATGTTGATTATCTTGCGTATGGTTGCCCTTGGTATTGTACACCATTCCACCCGAAGAACTAATCCAAGCAGAGCCACGTTCCTGTAAAAGGGACAGACAATTAAATGATATAGATAATTTCATTGGAATTATGAGAAAGAACAAGATCAGTTTTGTTGGGCTGGATAGGTCCAAGGCTGTATGTGGGCCCATTCTAAAGAATTTGGTTTTATCATTGTCCATGACGCACTCTGCATATTCTGGGTCGTACCATGGATTTACCTCTGTGTCAAAACAACAAGTATGGCGAAGATGATAATAAAAGGATCGAGCCTCTCCATAATCACATTTTTATACAAAATCACACATTGACAATTTCGGGTGGGAAGTGACTGGTCTGGAGCAGCAAACAGAAAGCCTTCTGTTTCACTTTGCAGGCCAGTCGACTTCATCCAAGCGAAGGACTCTGCGGGCTTGCTGATCCTCTCAACCCACTGCACATAAACTCGATGCAGTGGTCGACCAGGTAGCTTCTGCTTGAAAAACTGAGTCTGGACTGATTTGATATGGCACTTCGCTTGGTTGATAC